CATGGGTGGTCACACACACACACACCCTTACGCTAACCTGTGTGCAAGCCGCAAACGTGACCGGGTAAAGAGGTAAGCGTCTTGCCATGCAGGATAAGGAGCTGGATATCATGAAGGTGCGATCGTAAGCAGTGGGGCAAATACCCTGCTTAGCAGTGCGATTCTATGGTCAGGTGGTGCAGGAACGCATGATAGATACTGACAATAAATGTGAAGCCTTTGTAGCATGCCGCGACGCATGCTTCAGAAACGGAAGGCACGCGAACAATCAGCAGCAAAGAGGAACAAATGATAATTCTAAGTCCCTGGCCCGATCACGTACCTGGACTCCTGAGACACCTCAATCCTTGGTAAGCCGGATGCCGCAAACATCAAGGATTGCACCTTGGCAAGCACCTATTGCAACTGACTCCACCCCATTCTGAGTCGCTCTTGAAGAACGTAAATGCCATTGACTCTGCATCCATCTTATGGCAGCTTGGTTCAAGTTCCTCAACTGTAAGCCTATATTTTGCCGGGTTCCCAGCTCGTGTGTGGGGATCACACTCGGTAGTTGCTGCCGGTAGGCAGCCGCGAGTGGACACAACACCACCAAGAAGCCTTCATCAGTCAAAAACTGCAGCGCAGTGCCAGGGTGATGGGTTGCCTTATCCCAACTCAAACACACTACAGAATTGGATGCCTGGGCCTTGACTGAAGCCGCCGACCAGTTTAGGTCTGGCACCAATTAGGTAGGCATTTTTACGAATTCTAGTGCAGTAGTAGCTAGCTAGAAGTTACAGGACATTACACAGATATAGTCCCCCTTAAGTAGATAGAATATGGCTTGGGGTAAATAATAAAAAGATCCCCAGACAATCCATATTCCATCTACTTAAGGGGGACTATATAACCTGGGGGGCTTTTCCTACTTTGAGGGCCTGGTTTTGTTTGCTCGGAGGCAGAGGGCCTGACCCGGATGGGTTGCCATTTACAGTGTGAACAATGTCAATAGTACTACAAATCATTCACGAAAAAATGACCTCAACAAACTTAATATCAAAAGTAACAACAAAATACAAAGGAAAGCCCGTTTAAGTCGTGTTGAAAGCGGTTCTGGCAACGATTGCAAACATGGCATTTTGTAGAAGAGGCTACGAGCAGCTACCACTGTGACTGCTAAACGACACTTCGGCAGAAACGAAGTCGATCAACTTGCACACCACACTTTCTTGGGTTTAGGGTTTAGGGTTTAGGGTTTCGGGTTCAGGGTTTAGGGTTTAGGGTTTAGGGTTCAGGGTTGTGGACAAGTGATAATTGCCTTTTCCAATCCCACAACTGAGACCGGCCGACCGCCTCTGGTCGCTTTGGTCAACATTACGGACTGGACACGGTGCAGGTCCCACCTGACTGCCGTCCACAACCGGTTTGGGGTTCAGGGTTTAGGTTGGATACTGCCCCCACCTAGTAACAGCTACATACTAATTGTAATATGATCATATTGAGCCCCTAATATTACGCGTATTATCCACTGTCGTTGTTTGGCGGCAGTAGTCAATGCAGATTATGAATATGTATGTACATAATATATATATATATATGTAATTTCTTTTTTCCAAAAAGTAGGGGTCCCCCTTGTGGGAGTTCACATGAGAAATGGTGCCAATATATTCGAGCAGACCCCTAATTTTTAGAAACTCCCATTTGCCAATAAGCACCCCCCCCCTTCTCCAACTCAGAGCGGGACGATCAATTTGCAAACAACTTGGAGGGAACACACGCTCTACTGAGCATCGCTCTCAGGCAGAGCCATAGATCTCACCAGCACGGAATCTCAATGAATGTCACAGATTCCTCAACTGAGCCACCAAATCCAAAAGGTAAGAAGGTGAGGCACATCTGAATTGACGCCATGCGCGGAAAGAAAGTAAGCCTGTTTTTCACAGTCGAACTTCCTCCTGTCAGATGAGCAAAGCAGGAGGGGTCTTCCAGCCGCCTCCTCAGCATTAATGTCAGTCATGTACAGTAAATCTGTGACAGGCCTGAAATAACAAGCCTGAAACATCACAAAATCTCCAAGAGGCATCGTCACTATGAATGGCCGCATGGGAAGATGCCAGACACTCGTGTAGTGCTAAATGAGCCCTGGGCTAAAGTCCTTGTGTATTCCTCAATTATAGGTCCCCCTATACTTAATCCTATACATTCCCCTATGGGTCCCCCCGTAAACCCTAAAAATCCCCTATAGGTCGCCCCTAAAACCCTGAAAATCCCCATAGGTCCCCCCTAAAACCCTAACAATCCCCTAGAGGTCTCCCCTAAAACCCTAAATTTCCCCTATAGGTGCCCCCCTAAAACCCTAAATTTCCCCGATAGATCTCCCCTAAAACCCTAAAAAATTCCCTAGAGGTCTTCCCTAAAACCCTAAATTTCCCCTATAGGTCCCCCCTAAAACCCTAAAAATCCCCTAGATGTCTGCCCTAAAACCCTAAAATTCCCCTGAAGTCTCCCCCTAAAACCCTAAATTTCCCCTATAGATCTCCCCTAAAACCCTAAAAATCCCCTAGAGGTCCCCCCTAAAATCCTAAATTTCCCCTATAGGTCCCCCTAAAACCCTAAAAATCCCCTTGAGGTCTCCCCTCAAACCCTAAAATTCCCCTGTAGGTCCCCCCCAACATGACTTTAGTCCGTAGCTCACAGCTTCTCAGTCAGGCCATGGTCCTGCAACGCTGCGTTTAGGGTTTAGGGTTTAGGGTTTAGGGATCTAGGGTTTAGGGTTTAGGGTTGAGCTTTGCAGGGGCTCACTTTCCCAGACCCCCCCAAGGATCCAAAAAAATAGGGTTTAGGGTTTAAGGATCCAAAAAATGGAACCCCCTAAATATGAACCCATGTCACATTCTAGGGGATTATGAGGGGGTTCCATGTTTGGGATCCTTTAGGGGCTCACTTTCTTGCATCAAGGAAGGTTTCTTTGGACTACCTGTGGGCGCACTTTGGCCTCATGAGCTATACCAGACTTCAGATTCCTAACTTATCACACTTCTCTTTGAAACTGAATTTGGAAAAAAATGGAAATTACTACAGGATATTGGGGTTATATATTAGTTATAGTTATATAGGGACAATGGTAAAGAAAATGGAAACTACTATATGCGCTCAAGCTCCTGCTCTTCCAGTTTCAGCACTTGGGTGATGAAAGGGAAGTCTCGCTGGCAGAGTAACAAACATGCTCCGCTGGCAATTCTCAACAATGCCACAAGATACCTACTTGGATTCCGAGGTATTGGGCACCGAGAAGTCTTCACTCTTTCATCTGTTTCTTTGCTTGTGTGCTGTCTGAGTGACAGCAGAGGTACGGTACCCATGTCAGTTTTGAATCAGCTCCAGCACAGGAAGTAGAAAGCCCCGCCTCGCCCATAAGAATGAACACTCCCAAGATCATAATATCATGCTAGTATGCTAGGGGATGTGAATATCAAAATGTGTGGGGGACTCTGATTATGAGGGGGAGGGCAGTACCTGCGTCAAGCTGTTGTTTCCGTGAAGGCCTGCGGCACTGTACATCTGTGCAATGGACCGGGTCCTGCCCCCACGTCGTGTTAAGGGCAAAAAAACTATGTTAGACTTGGTATCCAGCTGTTAATGATTGGGGGCAGTATCCAAGCAATGGATGGCAACTGTGGCCAATCAGCATCGTCTTTTCCATTCCCCTGTATATTCCGGTATAACCCCCCAAGCAATGTAGTAAATTCCACGTTATTTCCCACTATATATTCCGGTATTACCCCCCCCCCCTAAATAATGAATTCCATGCTATTTCCCATTCCGTCAACTAACAAGCATGCGGGCTCCTGCCTATCTTGCCTACAGTGAGACAAAAGGTGTCGCCTTGCTGGGCTTCGTGCCCAAGGCCATAGTCCCCCTTAAGTAGATAGAATATGGGGTCTATGGCGATCTTGTTGTAATAATTCACCCAAGACCAATTATATCTATTTTAGGGGGACGTTAAGTTTGTTTCTGTCAAGAACTTAAAAATTGTTACCGTAATTGGCAGAAGTGGGAAACCCTCTTTCTTCAACGATGTGTCCGTTTTATGGTAACTTAATGCAAACTCCCTAGCAACAGCATAGAAGATATCTCTGCCAACTTCCTCGCTAAGGAATCAATGTTTCTTGCCCTTGCGCTTGCTCTTGTGGAGTGGACCACCTCCTGACATCATCCGCAGTCTGGCAAGGACTGGCTCAGGGCAACATGGCATGTACGGTCGCTCGACCGGCAGTTCTGGCAAGAGCTGGGACATTGCCAACTTTGTATCAGCTGCCATGTGCGCTGCCTGGACGCGGTGGGCGATGTCCGTCATGTCTTCGATGGCAATTACGCTGCGAACGTACAGCTCGGATAGGGAACCTTTCAAGCCGATCTGGATAGCCCGGCGACGCAGCATCTGTCTGGGGGCTTTACCATCCCCTGACATGAGATCTCGCTCCGGGTCCCACTGTACACGGCCCTTGGAACCACCACCTCCAGTGCGACACTGACAGGCGCTCAGGAGCTCTGCTACAGAAGCATGCGAAAGCTTGACTTTCAGAATTCGAGTCTGATTGTGCTTGCGAGCGTAGCCAGACCGATACAGGACCCAAGCGAAGGATGGCTTAATCCAGGTCATGCGGGTGGGATTGAAGTTCGGGCCACCGAACTGCTGGTGCTCAACTGCCCAATCTGCAATCACATCATTGTAAGCCTGGTAGAAGTGAACGCCTTCATCATCCCAGTCGCCCTGAAACACTTGCACGTCATCAGGAAGAGAGGAACCCGCAAGCCCGTCCTTTTGAAGCAGCAAAGGTTGTGGACTGTCCCTGGGTGAGGAACCTTCCGAATTTGATTCCAGCTTTGCAAGCTTGTCCAAAGATGGCACATCGCTAGATGAGGGTGCTTCGGATAATGCCTCAGGCGGACCTGCGGCACATGCAGGCTCATCAACTGACTGCGACAAAGCCAGCACTTTTGAGCTCAACAGGCTTTCAGAATCGGTTGCCATGAAAGCAGACAAGCTGTATACCGGTATATGTTGTACTAAAGGGCTGGGGCCGGAAGGCTGCAGCTGATGGCCATGGCACGTTCTACAAGCGCATTTCCGCTCTACATACATCTGCATCCCATGCCACCTTAACCACAGCACTCAAGCCCAAAACCCTACACCCTAAACCGCAAAAAAACGCTTTGCCCCTACCCCGTACTCCTCGCCCCCAACTCTAACCACCGACTCCAGCTTGGGCCTCGATGCCAAACCCCGGCCAGCCTGCTCTTGGAGGCCAGCAGCCAGCGCTCAGCCTCAAAAGCCTCTGTGAGGTCTATAGTCTCCCTTAAGTAGATAGAATGTGGGGGTGTATATGGGGATCTTCTTATAATACAGGTCAATTCCATATTCTAGCTACAAAAGGGGGGCTATACCCTGAACCCTAAACCCTAAACCCTAAATAGTAGTTTCCACTTTCTTTCCATTATCCCAATATAACCCAATATTCTATCTCCTAAAGGGGGACTATACGTCTCGGAATGGGGACTAGGGTTCTTGAGGATATGAGAAAATTTACAGCTGTGCCTGCAGGGGGACAACTATACGAGAATGCTTGGCTGCTTAGCCCCAAGACCTAAGCGGGGTCGTAGGATAATATCCCTAAACCCTAAACCCCAACATATGCCCTAAGAATCGCTATATAACCCCATATAATCCCTATAATCCCTATAGTTTCCATGTCTTTTCCACTCAGGGCCAGATTGCCTCAGGAGGTTTGTCAGGGACTCTATGGATGCCCTTTCCTGTACTCTCCCCTTTTCGCGTGGTTGATTCTAATACTTCCGTTCCGCCAATGTTTCATCACTGTGAATCCGTAGTCGAAGCCCAACACCTGTAGAGGTTATTTTCAGATGCCCTAGATCCCTGAACCACCTCTTATTCTTGGTTGCGACTTCTGTCCTACCTTCTGATCAGTGGTACTCATTGCTTGCTGCCAGGGCCTGCAGCAAATGCTGGTTGCTGCCGGTGATCTTGGCTGACGTAAGTCAACGTGAGCTGCACGAGGCACAACACTGGTTTAGGGGGAGCCTTTAAGAATTATACTATAATTCAAGTCCAGGGCTCATATGAGCCCTGGACTAAATTTGTAATACAACAGGTCCACCCCAAAACCCTATAGAGTCCCCTATAGGCCCTCCCCCAACCTACATATAGTCCGTAGGTCATATAAGGATGATATAAGGTTTTCGCCTGCATCACGCCGAGGCCCGAGAGCCACGATGGAACTCAGCTTTACTGGGTTGCTGTTAAGGAACTTAAATTAAGTTACTATATTGGGTTTAGGGTTTAGGGTTTAGGGTACTATATTGGGGAAACCCTATAATTTACTATGTATACCCATTATGGTAACTTAATTTAAGTTCCTTAACAGCAACCCAGTTTACTTCGTGGCATGTCTTGGCTCTCTGGGCATTCTGAGGCTCTAGCTTAGACCCAAACATCGACCTGAGCCCTTTCTGGCACTTTTTGCAACAAATCCCCAGCAGGTATGACAAAATCAGTACAGGTGAAAGGATGCAGCCAAACAGATCCAAACAGGACGCTGAGCCGTGAGGCACCGGCCAGGAAATGGAGCCCCATGGATCCTGGCAATCGTGACATTCGCATATTGAAGAGAAAGCCCCCATTGTTGCCCTTGCCAGCTGCTGCTAGCTCCCTTTCACACGGGAGCACTTATTGCAAGCAAACATTCCAAAACAGCTTCCTGCGTAAACTCTGCTTTTGACTGAGCGGACCTGTCCACGCCGAAAATCAAGCAGGGAGCCCAATCTTTTAAAAAGGCAATGAACTGGCCTGCAAACACAAAAACCCATGCTCGAGCAGAAGAGGACATCTCAGGGCATGGCCCAGAGAGCCAATGCGATCCTGTACATCATTCAAAGGCGATCGCAATTCATTCCGCGCTGCTGCAGGAAGATCAGAGCGATTCAGAGCGCGCTCAGATCGCAGCCACTGGCTTTGGCCAGCGCCTCGCGCTCTGCGGAGCCTGTGGAGTCCTTGCACTTGGCCCACTTCGCCAAGGTTTGGCCTGTCTTGGGGGCCACCACAGCAGCCTCCTCCCGGTACACCACGCCCGGCACAGCACCGCCATAGACGGCGAAGGCAGTAAGCACGCACGAGTTCTCCTCGTTGGCCTTCTCAAAGGCAAACAACGCTCGCACACCCTTGGCATCCTTGTCGGTCTCGTCGATGAAGATGTGGACTACCAGAAAGGTGCCTGGCTGCATGGTGGTGAGAAACTTCACGAAGAAGGCGTTGCATGGGCGGCAGGCGAAGGTCTCGCCCGTGCTTAGGGCGCTCTGCTCGCAAACAGTAGCGGCCTTTGGGTGGTACAACGTGTTGTAGGTGTCGCAGTCAGACGGGGAGATGACGTATCGGCCCTGCAGGTACTTGTTCGGCTTGAATGGCTTCCCGTGCGCAGGGCGGACGGCTGCCCACTTGTCGGCCAGCTCCTTCCTCACAGCCAATGTCTGGCTGTTTGGGATCTCCCTGCCAAACACTCGATCGCAGGGGCGCTTGACGGTGTTGTAGGCATTGGTGTTGCCCGAGAGCAGCCCCGACTTCAGGTCCACAAACATCTGACCGAACACGGCTGTGCAAGATGCATTGCCGCTCTTGTCCACAAGGCGCTGCAGGCTAGGCAGCATGGGGAGCTTGGGCAAGTCAATCTCCGACTCCACGAACACATCCGAGATCAGGTCTGGGAGCACTTCGCTCTCCACGTTGAAGGACAGATCGGCCAGAAGGATGCCAACACCATGCTCCTTGACGAGCGAAAACGTGCTCATACCGCTGATGCTTTGGAGGCAAGCTGCACGGCAGCGATCAAACTTTGTCAGGACAGCCTCTAGCTTTAGTCCTTCTGGTGCCCTGTCTTCCATGAAGATTGTGGAGGGAATCACTAGGCAGGCGTTTGCCATACCCTTATTGTTGATGTGTGCCTCCCCCACAATCCTCTCCCCAGACGCGTGCGGCGACACACCCAGGTCTTCTGCAGCCTCGCCGTTCTTCTTTGCATCCTTCGCGGGCGTGGGTGCGATGGTGCGAGGCGCGCACTCGAAGAGGGCCACGCCCTTGTCAGCCTTCTCCAAGGAGTCGGTCTTACAAATCTTGCTGGCTTTCTTAGTGGGGATGCTGGGGATGATGGTGCCGATGCTTGCCACGAAAAACTCAAAGTCCGACTCCGCCCACATCTTGGAGAAAGCAGGCAGGTCAGGAAGAGCCGGGCAATCTGGATACCTGCACATCACCTTTTGGAACACGGGGTTCTCACGCAGCTCCCTCTGCTCATCCGTGCATGTACACTTCGACATGCTGCACCCCTGCTCTAGGCCTGGAGACACCGTAGGCTGCTCTGATCTACAGTTAAAATTGCAGCTCGAGCCATGGAGTGCTTTCAAACAATTTTGTGCTGACAGCACCGTTGTGCGGATGATGGGAAGGAAGGAAAGTGTACTTTCTGTTGTATGGAACCCTGTGTCAGACAAATGAAGCTCTAACGCTTCAACCCCTGCACGAAAACAGGTCTCACTAGCGAAAGCAAGCTTGCGCAACTGTAGCTAACCAGCACAAAGCCTCTCACATGAGCTAGGGCCCCTATTCCCGAAACATGAGGCGCTCACCTCTCTGCCAAGGACTCTTCAGCTTGCTGAGTCTCGAAAGTCTGCGCAGTGAGCCTCGCATTCAATATACCCTTATATAACCCCTATAATCCCTGCAATCCCTGTAGTTTCCACTTTCTTTTCCATTATCCCAATATGACCCCAATATAACCCTTCATATAGGGTATATATTGGGATTATATTGGGTATATCGGGATAATGGAAAAGAAAATGGAAACTACTATTATGCACCTTGGCTCGCCTACCCCCCCCTTTGCTCCGGCTGCCTTGGAATAGGGCGCTTTTTTGCAAAGAAGGGCAGCTGGTGGGAAACAAGATGTCCAAGCTCCCAGTCGAAACCCCCTCAAATGCCTCCGACAGGAGAAGTAGGAGCTCAGAGAAACATTTCGAAATTTTGAAATTCAGGATTTTCTGGGCACTGCTTTCTAAACAGTAAGGCCATGTTTCACACCATGGTACAAGTAGCAAACACGTATATGCTGCCTGAGATGTGCAGCTCCCTGCTTGGGGTTAAGCTAGCTTAAGGCCAGGTGGTGCAAGAGCTTACAGGGCGATTCTATGGCCGGGTCATGGAATCTTAGTGATATGCCCCTGCCGGTGCTTCAGCAACATAATGCGTGCAAGCAGTCAGCAGACGTCAGCTGCCAGAAGGGGCTAATCATGATTCTAAGTCCCCGGCCCTATGTCACTTCGATCATGAAAATTGGCTCCTGGGACGCCTCTATCATCAATCCTTGGCAAGCTGAATGCCACAAACATTTGGTCTTAAGGTTGGATTGGCTCTATGCAAGCAGCTGTTGCAATTGCGGCGGCACGACTCTGGGCAATTTAGAGCAGACATCATGCTGGGGACTTGAAAGCAGGCTAGGCATCACAAAAAAGAACCCATATCACGTGCTATCCACCCGTACTATGCAAACGTAAATTCCTGAGTTCCCAGCTGGCGTGTGAAGACCACATTTGGCAGTTGTTGCTGGTACGCGGCCAGAAGCGGACATAACACCGCGCAGAAGCCTGCAACAGTTAAAAAAACTGTGGCATTTTGGGCCCAGCCCAGAATTGCAATGCAATGCACGCAACAGGGATTCCCAATTTGAATACATTCTGCATAATTTGATGCCTGGGCCTGGCCAAAGAAAATGACCAGTATGGATGATGTAGGCACATTTCGAAACACGAGACGTATCTGCATATATATATATATGCATTCATATACAAATAGAAATACAATGGTAGTTAGGTAGCAGGGTTATTGGATATTACCTTCTCGATAAGCCTACTTAGGAGTCCGAGCACGTGCACATGTTCACAGTTTAAATTTTAGGCTGAAATATCCACAACAGTCTACAGTGTGGCTGTGCACTCTTTGTAGGCTCTAAGTAACAAGTCAGTTTATCTCTTTGTGTACCTACTGTGCGTGTAGGAAAACAGGTGCGCCATGGTTGCGTACCATCACTGTGTACATACTCATTCTTGCGTGTGTATCTAATTATAAATATATATATATATGAGAGAGCATGGCCTCATGCTCCCTGATGTTCCTAAGGTTGGCAATAATTCGTGCACACTAGACCCTGCACTAAACTATAAGCCCGAAACTTTAGGGGCCCACCCGCTTGAGAGTTTTTCACGCATGTTGCGGGACCACTGGTCAGTTGCCAGGTTAGCATTAGCAGTCGCCACCGGAGCCCTTGACATGGTTCAGGGTTTGCGCTTGGGGGTAAGTTATGAACATCCCCAAAAGGAATGCACCATATCCTTTATTAGGAAACTTGCAAAGCCCCTATGTTATATAACGACATGACCATAATCTGGTCAGGGGCTCACCTCATTGGGCGGAAAAAGTCTCCACGGCTCCATGGGATGGTTTGCCCATGTCTGCCCCTTCTAAATATCTGAACAGCTTCTACTGTCCAAGGGGCACATCAGAGCCAGCATGCGGAGTGCTTGGTTAACTAATTAACATTAAAAGTTGCCCCACGCCTTGGGGACAAGAATGTCTAGTTCCATTCCCACTTCTGGTTTTTTTTGCCGTGACACCCGTACATCCAGACGACGTCCTTGTATGTGATGTGGTCTAGGCAGACGTTGACGGAGAGCGTTTTGAGCTCCTCGCCGACAAGGTACCACTGTTGACTAGGAGAGCCGTCGCAGTCGAGCATCAAGAGGGGCCCCCACCATACACCTTCCTCGTACTCGTCAGTGGCTGAGTAGTCCAAGCACTTGTTGTCGAACTTGGACTTCAACTCGAAAGTGCATACCTCTTCCGTGCCATTATCGTCAGCAGGAACACAGTTCTCGCCCTCGGAGTACCACTTCTGATTCTCCCCGTTGTGACAGGGGTGCATCCAAACGCGGCCATTTCCCGGGTGGTAGTCCGAGCACTTGTTTGAGTACCGGTTCATGAGCCTGCGATCACGAACCTTCACCTCCCACTGCCACTGCTGATCCTGGCATTTGCCCATCACAGCATTGCCCTTAGAATCACGGACCAAGCAGAGCTCGTCATCGTGCATGGTCTTCAGGGCAAACTCATCAAAGTACCATGGCTGGTTGGTCTCGCCGTGGCAAGGCTGCATGTAGACATTGCCGTTGCCATAGTTGTAGTCCAGGCAGGTGTGGTCATAGTGCGACTTAAGCAAATGGCCGTCAAAGTACCAGTCCTACGACTCTGGGCATGTTCATGGAAATCTGGCTGAAAGCTACGCCCAGACACCCCCCGCCACCTGGACCAATTGGATCAAGATTGGTGTGAGGAGAGGGAGCCCTTTTCTTGGCTTCAACGTACCAAGTTGCAGCTAGAGGCACATTGCTGCATCTTCCAAGGCAAGGGCTTTTTGTAGTATTTTGGCGCGCGGCCTGCACCCTGCATCCCGTGCTGGTGATGAATGAGCTATGGTCTGAAGTTCTACCTTCTTCGATACCCTTAGTCAGCCCCATAACTCCCCAGAAGAATAGACCTATAGCATGCCCGATGTAACCCGTAAACCCCAAACACTACACCTTCAATCCAAAACCCCTTAGAAGATTGCGATCACCCTCAAAACTCAATACGTCAGTCCTGGTAGGTCGCGTTGGGGTGGCAATCCAGGAGATGCACGTTGCCGCGGCTGCCTCACAAATTGTTGGACATGCCGGATGTTTAGGCTTTAGGGCCATATAACATGGTATGAGATGACATCGTACAATATGAAACGACGTGGTCCTTACGTACCCCATACTTCACCCTTTACAGGGAACCTTATATAGCTCCCTTTACGCAGTTTGGAGGATGGCTCATATGAGTTAGCGGCAAAACTTATTGTTCAAGCCTCGATGTCAGCTTAAGCACTGTGGCATTTGTCCCATGATCTTGTCGTTCCCTTGACCCAGACGATTAAACCCACAGCGGGCACCAAGGAAGCTTCAACATTGGGGTTTCAAGTGCACATAAAAAAATTAGGAAAAGTGTGGTTGGCGATGACAAGCAAATTTCCAGCTAAGTCCTTTCATGCGCTGCAAATGAAATTCATTGCAACCATCAACCAGTCTACTCTGGGCACTTAAGCCCAAAACTGCCCTCCAAACAAGTCCTGGCCTTTGAAGGTCTGGTAATCCAAGCACTTGCTGTGGTCTGCTGTTGTCCAGAGCCAGCGCTGACTACTGTCCTCAGATAGGTGTAGAGCTGGCTTGGGCGAATTCTAGGGTCGAACCGCTCTGGAGCTCAAGCCCCCACCAAAAACATACCAGCACAGCAGAATATTCTTCAGGCACATGAACACCAAAATGTACATGCATGTTCAAGGTAGCTAAGCCAAGTCTCTCCATGGCAGTCCGCATTCACGAAAGCATCGCCTGTTTCGGAGTTGTAGTCCAAGCACTTCTTGCCGTCAATGGTTCGGAGGACATTGCCATCAAACTGCCACTGCTGTTGACTTCGAACATTGTTGCAGTCGTGCCTTGCTTTCAAGCAAAAGAAGGAGACTCCAAAACCCATTGCTCTACAGAAAGCTTGAACCTGGAGAAGCAAGGAGCATGGCGGCAGAGCCCCCCTTGTCGTCATAGTCCAGACACTTGACGCCGTTGCGGGCATAATTGGATTTTATGCTCGTCCCGTCGAAGTACCATTCCTGGTTGGAGGTCCCATTGCAGGCCCAGACCAGAACGTTCCCGCTTCTGGTGTAATAGTCAAGGCACATCGTGCTGTTTTGCTCAGGCCTGCAACACACTTTGCAAACTTCGTAACCACAGCCCAATACGATGCAGCTAAATCCTGTCTGACGTGACATAGTATCCCATACCCTATACATAAAAGTAAGCCCGAAACACGCGGGAACTCGTCATCGTCGCTGCCGCAGCTGGCATCGGCGTCGGCGTCGTCATGGTGCCGTCATCCTCGTAGTCGCAGTCGCAGTCGCCGTCGCCGTCGCCGGAGCAGCACAAGCAGCAGAAGCAACAACACTAGTAGTAAGGTACGATGAAGAAATCGTGATCGATCGTAGGTCGAAGCGCTAGCTTTGCACTACGTGCATGAAGTTCGCAGCATTCGTGTCAATTTTTGCACATGCTGGGCATCATGCTTTTGGCCGTCCATGCCCCCGCTGGGGTTGCTTGAGCCAGAGCATCCACCATAAGAACGTCCATCCCCCTTTCATCCGACAACCTGCGCATCCATGCCTAAACCAAAAGAACATCCACCCTCCGTGCATCCTGATTACCCGAGCATCCATGCCCAAATCCCGATAACGTCCACCCCCAGTCCATCCAATAAGCAGAGCCCCCATGCCAATTACAGTAAGTATGATCGTAGCGTGCAGCTCTGAATGCGCCTGAAAACCAGAGCATCCGTGCCCAAGCCAAAGTAATGTTTTGCCCAAGGCATCCAATGCCCAGAGCATTTCAGTGCTTAAGCACGAGAACCCGAAGTCGCGAGGGCAACGTGAACCCATGGCTTCCTAAGAGCTATATGCTTGGGCATTTCAATGAGTTCGGGTGCAGAGGAGAGCTTGGAAGCCTCAGGCCTTGAAAAACCTTGAAGAGTAGCACACGCACCTGCTACAGCACGGGGACAGACGAAGCGCAAAGCAAAAGAGTGCCCATTCAATTGGGTTTGCCTTGCACGCGCACCTTCTGCCTCCAGGCCACGGCACAAATCAATCACTCGCAGCGGCTTAACTTGATTTCAACTGCAATGCTTTATGCACCAGCAACACTTTGCAACGATGCCGCAGCACGCACGATCAAACAAGATCACGGCGCCTACGCATACTCCTACTCCTTCTTCTGCTACTTCTACTACTACGATGATTACTACTACTACTACTACCACCACTACAGCAACAACAACTACTACTTCTACTTCTACTTTTGCTTCTACTTCTACTTCTACTTCTACTTCTACTTCTCTTCTACTTCTACTTCTACTTCTACTTCTACTTCTACTTCTACTTCTACTTCTACTTCTACTTCTACGACGATGACAACAACCAGTGTGACTACCACGCTGGCGCACCCCAGGGCGTCTGCGCTTTAAACTGGGGTGAAGCCGCCGTGGCATGGAGATTGCAAACAGTTTCGTTGTTTTGGGACAACCATTTTTTGCTTAAATCTCGTCATGGGCTACCATGGCAAGCTTGACAGAATCATGAATAAAGTAAGGGGCCCCAAAGGCTGAAAAATTGAAAAAGCGTGCCGCAACACCAACTCAGCAGCTGCGGTAAACACAAGAACATGTCATTCTCACCAACGGCCGCCTCCAGTAAAGCTAACGATTCAAAATTGGTCTTTCCAGAAAGCGCTGCTACAGGTGGCCCCCACAAATCTACATTGCCCTGTGAACACGGAGGAAATTATGGTTGGGGCATGGATGCTGCAGGAATCCTACACGCCTCGGAATGGACGTGTTATGGTTTGGGCATGGATGCCCTGGTCAGCGGACAATTTATTATCCCGAAAACAATCAGCTCCACGTTAGCAAGGGGCGCATATCTGGCAGTGTTCTAGGTGCCGCGGTCGCAGTGCGGTGCAGTTGCTGTGGCGCATGTGCGCGGTGTAGGTGTCTTGGCGTGTGCGAGCGGTGTAGGTGCTGTGGTGGGTTTATAGTTTAGGATTTAAGGTTTAGGATGGTGTCAACGAATCACAAGGTCGAGAGAACAGCTGGCCTGTACAGGGACGACAGCAGGCTGAATTCCAGTACCACGGTATTGTTTCGCAACCGCCGAATTCCAGTATACCAGGCTATCTGCGGAGTTTCGACCGCCGCAGTACCGCCGAGTTCCAGTGCCATGGTATTTGCGGTGGTTTCGCAACCGCCGAATTCCAGTACCACGGTATTTGCAGTGGTTTCGACCGCTGCAGTACCGCCGAGTTCCAGTACCACGGTATTTGCGGTGGTTTCGCAACCACCGAGTTTCAGTACCACGGTATTAGCGGTGGTTTCGCAACCGCCGAATTCCAGTACCACGGTATTTGCGGTGGTTTCGCCACCGCCGAATTGAGCTGCGGCCTAAACCCTTCGAACCTTTTGTTCTTACTTTCTGCGCTATGGCGCCCACCAGTCCCGATACTGACGCGCCCAAAGAAAAGCTGACGCGAATGCGTCTTTTTCAAACGGTACTGGCGCAAACTATCGAGGCTTGATTTCAGGCTACTGAATGTAACTTCACTGACGCGGCCACGGTGGGAACCATTTTCGCAAGATGCAAAGCTGCCTTAGCCATATAGGACATGAGACACACATTTTCGGTACGCAAGCTCACCCTGCAAAGCCAAGCACCAACGGCAAACCGAGTAAACATCTGCTGTCGCGAAGACGATCGCCGTGGGAATGCTCATGTTTTACTGATGCGAACTATCGCGGCACACCATAGAAGCTGACGCGGCCAGTCATTCCCTTCATGTTTATACAAAACTCTGCATGTGGGGTTTTCGCCGCCGCTCAATTTCAGTACCACCGTATTTGCGGTGGTTTCGCAATGGCCGAATTCCAGTACCACGGTATTAGCAATGGTTTCGACCACCACAGTACCGCCCAATTCCAGTTGTGTTTTGGGTCTCCGGTGCCTATGCATATCCAATTTGGCGCGCGATACTCAGAGTTATGAACCCACTTGGTTTCCTGGATAAAGGCAATGTTATAGTGGGATTGGTCGAGGGGTCGATGATTCTACCTTTATACGTGACCTGTCCAAACTTCTGTGCTCTGCAACAGGCTCTTTTGTACGAGCGATTGAATTTTCGACTTAGGGCTGGTAGCTGGCTTCGCACTTTTAATGGTTGTTCACCGCAGTGCTTCAGCGTATGTAAAGAGCTTCCACTACCATTCGGGTCGCTCCCCCCACCCATGTGGGTTAAGTTGGAACCCTCACACCGTAAGGCCTGGCGACGAAGGTGGTTCGAAGCCAGAACCTTACCCCGTAATTGGGACCGGAACGGCTGCTCTGCTTGACAATGACTTTCTGATTTTTGATGGGTGCGTACTCAAGGCTTGTAGTTCCATTGTCCCTTGCCAAGATGCGTAATGGGGAAAGGGGTGATGCTGCCTTGGTGCCTGTATAGCCTGCTGAGGTATATCCTTAGGCAATTGGTTGCGAGCAGGTGATCAACCGGTTCCAGGCAATGGCTTTGGCTGCAAGCAGGTGATCAACCGGTTCCAAGCAATGGCGCGCAGGCATTTGAATTGCAATGGCATAGTTGCTGAGGATCTATGCTTGCGAATTTTGTTGGGGGGCGGTCCTTACGCAAAGCATAGATTTCACAGGGTCAAGCCATTGATGAAGCGCAGGATTGCTAGGGCGCCACGCATTGTGATCAGTCATTGCTGTCCTCCATGTACTTGTCATGGGGCCAGCGCGGCAGCCCATGAACCTTGGTTGTTATGCTCTGGCATATGGCGGCGTTGATGCTTTGCGCAGTCAATCCATGCCCTCCAAGGAAGCGACATTATGCATCTTAGCGTTGCTCGAAGTACTAGGTGCCTCTTCTTCGCCTGACGACAATACATGTCTGTTGCGATGCTTGCGTTTGGGCGTCCCTGGCGTGGAGGGTCACGTATACCTTGCAGGAGTGGAGGGTTCTGGGTCAGGTGGGGTTGCCCCTCTCTGCTTGCTTTGCCCATTCCTGCTGTTTCTCCTTTTCTCTCTCCCGTAGGAAGGCATCCGGGGATTGAATGCACCTGGCTTGTTCTTCTGGGTCTGCATTCTGAGTGGCTTGTCCCACGTTGTCTGCAACGCGCTGACGTTGGCGGCTGCGGTCCTCATCAGAATCCTGAGGCATCTTATTGGCCGTTACATCAAGGCTACCTTTGTCTTTGCAAAATCAAGGCGCTGGAGTCTGAGTGTAATCATGATTCGTGGTAGAGCTGAGGCGGCAGAGCGGCCAATACGACATCCCTTCAGAGTCGCGCTCGTGCACTGTAAAGCATTGGCACGCTGAGCTGTGCACACATTTGGCAACATGGGGGCAAGTGTCGTTGCTACGCAAGCGATGATGCCATTGTGTTGCAGTGTCTGACTATGTATACGCGGCAAATCGAGCTTACCTAAAGTTGGCCCACGTCATACGCCTGTACAACGCAAGGGCACGGCACACTATTGCCGTAACCACAAGTGCTCCAAACCTTGCTCATGCAGAACGCGATTCTAATGTCCAGCTTCGTTGGGCAGTAGCCTCTCATAAACCACTTGTGCAATCGCAGATTGATCGAGGCCTCTGAGGTTGTTATCCAACTGGATGCTTAGTCTTCTCTCAAAGGGTCTCCAAGAATATGCTGCGCATCTCTTCAAGAATTCAGCGTGCGCTTCCAGGAGGCATTCGACATCTGTATGACGTGGGGGTGTCTGGGGCCTCTTGCAGGACCCAGGCAACCCATCCTGTGTCGATGCAGATCATTGATCATCAGCCAGTTGCGATGTGACTGATCCAGCAGGTGTTGAGGTCCTGGGATCTTCTTCGTCTTTTACAAGCATAAAATGCATTGTATCATCAATGTATGAGACTCTTCCGTTGCTAAAGTCCTTTCCCTAATTCTAATTCGAAGTAACAGTTCTTCGACCATGTTGCTGTATGTATATTCGAGAGGAAGTGCTGAAAAGATTCAAGTGATGAAGCATTGATGTGTTATCCAGTTGCTCCGTAAGCAAGGGCCTTGCTGCACCTTGTGCCGCCACCTCTCCATAAGCATAGTCCTGGCAGTACAGTGTGAGACCCAGCTCAGCGACTTCTTAGGGCGCGATGCTTCGCAGTCCAAGGTACAAGGATAATTGCTCTGTGCTGAGCAGGCTATCTGCTGATCTTTGTAGGGGATGGTCGCACCCTCTCATACATAACGCTTAGTGACGGCCGAATTTGCACTGCTCGAGGTTGCTGTTTGAGGACTGCTTGAATCGCTCTCACTGGCTTGCGATTGTTTGCGCTTACCTTTGCGTAGTCCCCGCATGCTTGCTGCAACGCTAGCACCTGCAGAAAGCAAATCCATCTCCATTGCATTGAAACTACTATGGCTCAGCTTTTTGAACAATTTTCAGCCGTGGTGCTTAACTACTACTGCTACTATTACTACTGCCGGCACTACTACTACTACTACTACTACTACTAGTACTACTACTGCTACCACTACTACTACTACTACTACTACTACTATCACTACTACTTCTTCTTCTGCTACTGCTGCTCCTACCTTTTTTTCCACGGACCTTTTTACTAGCAGACTCCCTTGATCAGTGCTGCTACTGGCGCAGGGGTAGGCGGCTGGGCCCCTCTGCGTCCGCGAAGTGGAGCAACTGGTCCAGCTCTGGGCCCGCTCAGTTCATGGCGCCGGCCGCGAGCTGCGCTCTCCGTAGCGCCGTGCCCGCCACCGCCTGCTGCACTGCCACTGCTAGCATGCCCCACCAGAGTCGCGCCCAGAGGGCTGGCGGAGCGCGGACGGCGCGGACGCGCACGAGGTCGCGCAGCAGGCGCTGGGCTCCATCGATCCATCGCCCCCCCACCTCAGCGGCCGGAACCACCAGGCACTGCGGGCCCCCAGCGTTGAGCTCCGGGTAAGTGGCATGCTTGCGGTGCTCCGCGACTACTACTAGGGCTCGCCGCGTTAAAACGACGGTGTTTTTTTTAGCATTTAGGTAATCTCAAGGACAACTTGCGTTCAC